TGGGAACACAAAGCCTGCACACAAAATTATTATAAACAGCCTTAAAGAGGACTTGTGGTAGCAGAGTCTTTAAAGGAGCAGAGAGCCAGGTTTCAGAGTGATAACAAGGTTTCCCAGAGCTGAGGTAAGAGCCTGTGCTCTGGACCCCACAGGCTAACCCAAAGTTTCCCATCTGCATGGTGACCTTCTCTGCAAAATGAAGGCAAAAATAAAACCTAGGGCAAAATGAGACTCTGAACTACCCCCTGCTCCCACTCGTCCCACACAGTTGGGTAGATCCCATCTCAAGGATAACTGCTGGTTGTTTCCAGGTTGCTGTCTCCGTGGGAAAATGGCTCACATGTGCAGCTTGCTGATTTGGAGGAGAGGGGTAGCAACTCCTTACAGGAAAGATGCAGCCCTGTAACTCGGCAGGGGTTGTGTTGAGATTTAGCTAGAGGCATCCCTCCCTGTTCTTGGGAAAAATATTCCACCCATAATTTGGCCTCACATTTTCTTCTGACATGAACTATAATTTGCTGGGCATCTACTATGTGTCGGGTACTATGCTAGGCACTTTGCTGTATTATCTCATTTAAGTCAAAGAACAATCAATAGTTGAACATTCTCCCAGTATCCAACACTGGGCCAGGGGCTGGGTGACTGGGACATAAGATTCAAAAAAGACAATATATTCCAGGCATTCATGTCTAATGGAGAAGAAAAACAAATTGGCATTTACAGTGCAGTGTGTGAGTGCTGGTGTGGAGGTAAGCAATCAGCCTTGACTTGGTCTCTTAGTCTGCGAGTGAGTACCCTGCTACCTGGGTGACTCCTTCTGATTTGGGAACCTCATGCACGTTCAGAGGCAGCTTGACACCACAGCCAGACTTGGACCAGGTACCATGTGTTCACAGATGACCACCTCCAACCAAGCCAAATATTCTCCAATTAAAACTCAGGTGTTGGCAGCCAATCAGTAACACCCAGGGACTTTGCTTTCCTAATATGGGAAAGAACAGTTCATGGTCTTCTGACTTTAGAAAACTACCCCAGTTCTCCTTCCACATCTTCAAATATGAAGTTTTCCCATACTGTGCAGGATTGGGCTTCCTGCTTGAAAGTAAATTTTTCCTTTTTTTCACTCAGCACTCAATCTTTGGATTCTGATAGTTTTAAACTTTTTTCTGTAACAGAGGTAAACCAGAGCACAGAGAAGGAATGATGAATTCTATCTGTAGGAGTTGAGAAGTGCCCCAGAAGAAGTTACATTTCGGCTGGGACTAGGATGATAGTGAATAGATTTGTCAGGCTGACAAAGGGATGAGGAAACACATTCAAGGCACTGGGGAGCAAAGTAAGAGCTATGTGCAAATACATGCCCTGTTCAGGCCAGGCCAGGTCATTGGGTGCATGCTAGGCTAGGTGTTTGGTGGGAACTCTAGGGTGCTCCCTGGAAAGTTAAGTTGGGACAGGCTTGTAAGATAATACTAAGGAGTCAAGAATTCTCCCTGTGGGCCAAGGGTTGCAAACTCAAATGCCTTAAAGGGCCACTCAGATATCTTCAATGAATGAAGAAGATAGGTCTTATTCTTTCTACATGGATACACCATTTTTTTGCTTTTTTGGGGTGAGCTAATATTATACCTATAGGGATATTCTTCACATCCAAAAAATATGTATCATCTTCATTCATTCAAAGAGTACTGATTGAGCATCTTCTGTGTGCTAGGAATTGTTCCAGGCACTGGCTATTTGTCTTGAAACATGTAGACTTCTAGGTCCATGTTTCTTTTCTCACTTTTGCTAGAGATGGGAATACCTTACATTTTCTCTGCTATTGGGAAAAACTCAGGCATGATAGAAAGTCAATAGACACTCTAAAAATAGTGGTGGGGAAATGTGAGGGTGGGGGAGAATTGGAGAATCTGTGTCCTGTTTAAAGCAGCATCTTTGGCTCAGCACTAGATGATTATGGCTGTGCTGGGAATAAGGCTGTTGGAGTGATCTATTTCAATTTTTCTTCCCAGAAAAATTGAGTTTTAAAACATAATCTCATCAAATTTTTTATGTTGGCTAAAAAATTTAAAGTTATTATGCTGTTCACACACCTACTGGCTGGGTGCAACAGGGCTGTGGGTGAGACTTCAGTTCTCTGCCATCCTCTGCTCTAGGCAGTAGGCAGTAAGGAAGGTGTGGCCAAGACTGCCAGATGCCTATCCAGCATTCATTCTCCCTTTCATCCTTAAACACAGGATCCCAAGATATCCAGGTGGCAATGTGTCCAGCTAATAACTATATTTCCCAGCCTCCCTTGCAGACACATGACTCTCATGTGACTAAGTTCTGGCCAATGAGAGGGAAATGGTGGTGATTGGCTGTTATTAGAAAGACCACCAAAAAAAAGGATAAACAGTTGGCAATTTTTCCTCATTCCTCCAGCTTTCTTTTTCAAAAATTGAATTGATGGCTAGAGCCTCAGCAGCCATGTTAGGCTAAGAGGCAGTCTTGAATATAGAAGCTTCTTGGGCTTTTAGTGTTAGTCTGCTTGAACTGACATGACAAAATACCACACACTGGGTGACAAACAACAGAAATTAACTTTCTAATGATTCTGGAGGCTTAAAGTACAAGATCGCTGTGTCAGTAAGTTTGGTTTCTTCTGAGAGCTCTCTCCTTTGGAAATGACCACCTTCTTACTGTGTCCTCACATGGTCTTTCCTTGGTATGTGTGCATCTGTGGTATCTCTTTGCGTGTCCAAATTCCTCTTCTTATAAAGACATCAGTCAGATTGTATTAGGGCTCAGCCTAACAGCCTCATTTTAATTTAATCATCTCTTTAAAGGCCCTGTCTCCAAATACAGTCACATTCCAAGGCCCTGGGGGTTAAGTCTTCAACATATCAATTTTAGGGGGCACACAATTCAGCCCATGACAGAAGATATATGCTAAAGATGCTGGAGCAGAAAGACAGAAGACACCTGGATCTCCATTGCCTTCATGGAGTCTCCATACCAGTCTGAACTATTTCCAGCCTTTTGCTAAGCATGATTCCATCACAATTTAGAACACACATGGACAACTTCTCCATGATTCCTTTGTCGGTTGAAAATCTTTATTATCACTCTAAGTCCACCTTAAACGTAAGCTCTTCTGGGAAACTTCTTTGACTCTTACAGGCAGAATTCATCAGAAGACCTTAGGAGTTCAGACTGTCATAGTCCACTCTCTGTTGTTGACAGTGGAAGACAATACCTAGCAGATTCAAGAGGCTTCCTGGAAGAGGAGGGATTCATCCCACTGCCTGTTTTCCAGGGGTTTGAGACAGACGATGGGCATTTGGGTTCAAGGGAGACCCTATGAGAAGTTAAATGGGAAAACCCAGCAAGGAAAACTCCTGTAGCCAAAAAGATCCAGAACTTTCATGTTTTCTGAAATGAAAGTGAGAAATGTGTTCAGGGGATTCCATCAGGATACAGGACGCCTGGGTTCTCTACTCTTAGCTATTTTATTGCTGCCTAGTGAGACTTAGAGCTGGTCAGTTCAACTTCTCTGATTTATCATTATTATTATTTTGTTTTATCTGTAGTAATCCCTGGCTTACCTATATTACAGTGTTTGATGAAGATCAAATAAAAGAACAAATGTGAAAATGTTTTGAAATATATGAATTATCTATATCCATCTTTCTAAAGTAATTTGTTTACCTTCTTTGTGATTTTTTTCCTTCTGCATCACCTGTATTGTGATTTTTCAAGAAATTGTACTGTTTTAAATAATTGTTTATTAAAAAAACACTTTTTATCAGAATCATAATAAAAAGTGACATATTGATAAACAAAAATGAAAGCAAAATAACATTATTAAATTGTAGCCAGTTACTGTTAAGTGCTAAGGCTTGTTCTCTCTGTTAAAGAGGGAGATTGGATTAAGGAAGATTTAAAGTCAGACTAGTATCAAATGGAGACTTTAACCTTGACTTCAGAAGAGCTGAAAAAAGAGAACTGGGAAATGAAGAACTTTCCCATGATTTAATTAAATGTCATTTAATATCATAGCTACACAATATGATCTCACTCTTTTTTTTTTTTTTTAAAGATTTTATTTTTTTTCCTTTTTCTCCCCAAGGCCCCCCGGTACATAGTTGCATATTCTTTGTTGTGGGTCCTTCTAGTTGTGGCATGTGGGACGCTGCCTCAGTGTGGCTTGATGAGCAGTGCCATGCCCGCACCCAGCATTCGAACCAACGAAACACTGGGCTGCCTGCAGTGGAGCGCGCAAACTTAACCACTTGGCCACGGGGCCAGCCCCTATGATCTCACTCTTAAGAGACATTGATGTATAAGAATATTTGGTTGTATGAAGAGGTTTCCTCATAGAATATAAAAAACCAACAGCTTGTGAATAATTGTTTGTGGCATACCCTGTGTGAGCCCCTTTACTCTCATAGGACCCTTACAATAACCAGTTGAGATGTATGTGAATGCCCATTTTCATTTGGGAAAACTGAATCAGGAGGCTGTGTACCTTGATTTAATCACATAGGTGTCAAGGAAAGGAGTCACTCAGAGGCAGTGTGAATTCAGATGTGCTGGCTCCAAAGCCCATGGTTCCTCTCATACCACTTTCTAATTCCATGGTCCAGTCCCTCCTTAAGATATATTGAATTTAAGGAAAACAGTGCCCATTGTCCACTTGTGAGATGCAGTCATCAGAAAGAGGGAATAAGTGTTTGTTGAGAATAAGATTTCTGGAGCCAGACTGCCTGGATTTAAATTCTGCCATGCCTCTTATTATTGGTGTGAACTTGGGCCAGTTACAGCCTCTCTGTGCCTCAGATTCCTGGGAGATAATAATAGTGTCAATTTCATATGGTTGTTCAGAAGAGAAAATGAGTTGATGTGTGTAAAGCCTTTAAAATGGTGCTGGCACATAGTTCACTCTATCTAAGTGCTAATACCATCCATGTTTATGTTGTGGCTGGCATGCTATGGTTTGGGATAGAATGCTCCACACTTGGTTACACAGACAGCTTGCCAAGGCATCTCCTCTTTAAAGCAGCCTTCACATCTTTATTCCTCAGGCTGTAAATCAGAGGGTTCAGCATGGGGATGACCACAGTGTAGAAGACAGACACAACTTTGTTCTGCTCCATGGAAGTGTGAGAGCTTGGCTGAGCATACATGAAGGTGATGGTGCCATAGAAGAGGCAGATGATGGTGAGGTGGGAGGCACAGGTGGAGAGTGCTTTGCTCTGAGCCTCCAGGGAACGTATCCTGCTGATAGTCACAAAGATGTAGGCATAGGACATCAGGATAATGGTGATGGTAAAGAGGATAATCAGGGCAGAAGATGAGAAGATGATGGTTTCAACTGCAGAAGTGTCCACACAGGCAAGTTGAAGCATAGGGGGGATGTCACAGAAATAGTGGTTAATGACGTTGGGGCCACAGTAGGGCAGCTTGAAGATGTACCAAGTCAGTAAACCTGAAATGGCAACAGAAGCCACGTAGGTGACCACTACCAGCTGGACACAGAGATGTTGAGACATGATGGTGTGGTAGAGGAGAGGGTGGCAGATTGCAACAAATCGGTCATAGGCCATGATGGCCAGGAGCAGACACTCAGCAGTACCATGGAGAGTCATGAGGGCCATCTGCACCACACAGCCTTTGAAGGAGATGGACTGGCCTGAGGTGAGGAAGCTCTCCAGCAACCTGGGGGTGTTTATCGTGGAGAAAGAGGAGTCTATGAAGGCAAGGACGCTCAGAAAGAAGTACATGGGTGTGTGGAGCTGTGGATCTGTGTGGATCAGGGTAATTATGCCCAGGTTGCCCATGAGGGTGACTGAATAGATGAATAAGAAGAACACAAAGAGGGTGCCCTTTGGCCCCTCCTGCTCTGTGAGCCCCAGCAGGAGGAACCAGGTGACTTGGGTGCAATTCTTCCCCATGGTGCAAACGTCACTGAAAAGACCCAATAAGACATATTTATACACTCGAGGAAGACCTAGGGTCAGTGTCTGAAGCCCTTTTAATGTCCCCAGAGCACGCAGTGTGAGGCGAACTGGGGAGAGGACACTGGCATGAATTGAACACCTACTATGAGTCATGTGTTAACTGATTTCCTACACAGCTATTGAAACTTCATAATACCTTCTCATTTAAATATTGTGTCCATTTATATTGACTGAGATTATCAACTTCCCCATGGTAAGAGAGTTAGTACATAAAGAAAGTGGGATTAGAACTCAGTCCATTCTAATTATTGTATTCTTATTATATAGTTATAATCACTTTTTGTTCCCAAGTTTCCTGTCTCATGGGGAACTGGAATCTTTAGTGGGGTCTGGAGGCCTGGTGTGTTGGCTCAGAGAAGAAATAAATGAAAGAAGCAATTTGGAGTATATCTGGATCCAAAGGCTCTAACAGTGCTGGATCCAGGGCAAGGGACTCAGAAAATCAGGCCTAACATCATGAGAATGTAAAGTGACTCAGTACAGCAGTCATTTCTCCAAGTGTTGTGGGTTGAATTGTATCGCCCCAAAAGATATGTTGAAGTCCTAACCCCTGCTACCTGTGCATGTGACCTTATTTAGAAACAGGGTCTTTGTAGAAGTAATCGAGTTAAGTTGCAGTTATACTGTATTAGGGTGGGCCCTTCATCCAATATGACTGATTTCCCTATAAGAAGATAGAATGAGGAGACAGAGAGAAGAATTCCATATGAATATACAGACTCAGAAGGAAGGTGGCCATGTGAAGACAGAGGCAGAGATTAGAGTCATGCTGCCACAAGCCAAGGAATGCCTGGGGCTTCCAGAGCTAGAAGAAGCAAGAACTGATCTTCCACAAGAGGACTTATAGGGAGTGTGGCCCTGCCAACATCTTGGTTTTGAACTTCTAACCTCCATAACCATGAGGGAATAAATTTCTCTTATTTAAAGTCACATAGTTTGTTGAACTTTGTTACAGCATCCTGAGGGCACTTATACACCTAGTTTGGGTTACTCCTGGCTATTGAGGCTGCTGTGCTTTCACAGAAGTCTCCTGATTTGTCAGGAGATTGGACTTTCCTGATCTCTCTCTATTGACAAAGCTAATAATCTATGGAAAAAAAGTAAAAAAAGAAATAAGTTAAAACAAAGTCTATGTTATTCACTAGTAACTGTGAAAAATATTGTTTGGGAGAACAGGCAGCTAGAGTAAATACGGATGCTTCAGCTTGATAAAACCATAACCAAGAGCCAAGGTCTTGTGTTTTAGCTAGAAACAACTTAAGGCAGTAGGAAGTGACAAATTTGTGGCATTGGGCTCCAGCATAGGGCACAAGTCTTAAGGCAGAATTGGAGGTGAGATCTCTAACCAGAAAGCACAGGGCAGAGAGTCCACAACCCTACTTTCTTAAGCTCCCTAGAGGGGACTGTCATATTTATACAAATTCTCTCTGCTGTTGTCATGCTCCCCCAAATTTTCCTCTCAGGGTGCTCACTATCTAGGTTTTCAAACAACCAAGGCTGCTATTCTGAGCGGACATTCTTACATGAGATACCGGCCAGGGTCTGCTCTGATAGGTCGGACATCTCTTCTGATTGGTCGAGCATTGGTTCTGATTGTTTGGGTGTCTGTTCTGATTGGTCGGTGGCGGTGACATACTCGTTATTAAATGTTTGGAATTCTGTATGATCTTAATGAGGCTTGGAACAAAGGAGGAATAAGGCAAGGCCTCTTTTAGAGCATCCCAGGATAGCTAGAAATAGGTGGCCTCTATTCAATCCAGTAATATGGCTTTGTGCTTTCAGCATCTGTTGACAATTCTGGGTCTCTTGAAATGTAAACACTATGTGTAGATTTTATCTGTGGAGAGGACTGGTGGGGATGTTTCTTTTCTACTCATGATGATTCCTTCCCTATGAAGGGATATCCATTGAGTAACACTCCTGTTCCCTCTTCTCCTGGAGGAGGGATGCCTTCTGTGATCAGTGAATTTTGGATAAGTCATGGCGTGTGTGTAGTTCTGCTCCACCCTCTTCTTTGCCTATTGCACAGGTTCTGCTCTACTCCTCCCTAATGTAGATCTTAAAACTAAGTCATTAAGTCTGTCTAGTTCTTGGGTTCAGTTTGAAGAAGATCATTTACCTTCAAGCATGAATCATGCTCTGCCGTACCCAGTTCTATCAGTGATGTGGGTGGTATTTTGCTATATGCCTTGCTCCTACCTCTTCTCTCTTAATTGGTTCAGAATTTGCATGGAGAAGAGTGATGCTGTTCATTATGGTCCTTAAAAGCCTGAGCGATGCTATTCGTTATGGTCCTTAAAAGCTTCAGCAGAGAGAAAGCAAGAAGGAAGCTGGCAGGGGCAGTCTTCTTGGCCTTTCTCTTCAATAATTCCTTGATATGGGCTCACAGGTCCATAGCAAACTAATATGGTTGAGTTGAGTGGGGGATTGGCTATAACACTGGGTGCTATGGAAACTGGGGGAACTTTAATTCACAGTAGTGATTCCTGGTTGAGAGAGCAGGAGGACAGCTTCCTCCAGTGCCCCTGCTGAGACTTTGGTAAGGGGATGCTGTGGATGAAAATGCATTTGGACAGAATGTTGAAGTGTCCTGACATGAAAAAAGAGAGGGGGCTTATGAAGGTGGAGGCCATCTCAAGAAGGGAGAGTCCCTGAGAATTTCTGAAGATCTATTCCCATGGATATCTTACAGAGCTGTGGGTGGGTTCCTGTTCTCTCTCTGACAGCTCTGCTCTTTCCTTGGGCACAGCAAGAGAATTTGCCACTTTTGGCAATAACGTCTATTCCTTGATGTTTGGGTGTAAAATACAGTGATTAGTAGTTTGTAGTCTCAGCTGTTTCCATAAATTATTTTCCTTTTGATAGACAGAGTTTTAACAAATGTGTGGAAAAACTGGAGTTTCAGACCTGGGTAGTCCAGGCATTATTTCTTCCTTACTTTTATGAGATTAACATTTATTAGCCACTACTGCTCATTGTTAACCAGGAGGTATGCTGCCCAGCTTCTGGAGGATGGCTTTCAGAGCAGAGTCCTATAAGTGGGGAGCAGTTGAAGTATTTTAAGCAGGATGGTGACATGGTCAGACTAAGCTGGAAAAATGACTTTAAAGAAAGAGAGGAGGCAGGGAGCTACATTAGGTAACTGATCATAGTTGTCTTGGCTAAGGTACTGTTATTTTATTGACTCACAAATAGATAAGTTTTGTTATTAATACTGGAGACACACTGGTGATCAACATAGATGAGATCTTTGCCCTCAGAGAGTTTAAGAACTGGAAATATTAGATAAATATTTAGGGGATGGATTTATTAGTACTTACACATTAATTGGTTGTATAGGGTGAAGAAGGGTCAGGGATGACATCCAGGTTCCCAGTTTGGGTGACAGGGTGAATAGTGGTGTCATTCTCTCCAACGGTAACAGGTTTAAGGATGGACGTGGTAGTTTGGGAGAGACAAGTACACAGGTCCAGGAGGTAGGTAGGTATGCTGTTTTGAAACTTAGGAGGGAGTTCTGTGTAGGAGATGGAGGTTTGAGAGTCATTGGATGTTTTCAGTTGTTCAGAATATGTTTATTGTATATCGACTGTGTGCCGGGCAATGTTCCAAACACCTTTAATTGCATTTGATCCTCTCAACAGCCTTATGAGATGTACTTTTGAAATCTTCATTTTTCTTAAGAGATAACCAAGGCACAAAGAAGTTAAGGAACTTGCTGAAAGACTCAGCTAGTATGTAGCAGAGCTGGGGCTTGAATTCAGATCGTCAGGGTCTAGAGCTTACATGATTATCCAGTACTCTAGACCACGTTAAGGAATTTGTCTTCTGTGAGATGTAATTAAAGAGTTTTCACTAGGAGGATGAAGTAGTCATATTTGCTTTTTGACAATATCACTCTGAATGTAGTTGTGGAGAAATTATTGGAAGAGGGTCAATGGATGGGGAAGATTTGTTGGGAGGATATTGAATTCATACAGGGGGGATTCACAGCTTAAAGTAGAGTAGGGGTAGTAGAGACAGACAGTGGTAAATGGATTTGAGAGATTTTTGGATTAAATATGTCTGGAATTGACAATGGACTGAAGATGCCAGCGTGAAGAGGAGAGCAATTATCAGGGTGAACTCCAAGGTCTCTGGTATACAGTGTAAAGCTAGTAGGGCAAGAGGCCCCAGGGCAGAACCCTATGGAAATTAATTTCAAATTTACTGCACACTGCTTGAGAGTTCTCCTTTTTTTTCCTATTTACCTAAATTCTGGGGATGATGATCAGATTTGAACAGTTTGAGCATGGTTTATGGGGAAGGGAGCGCAAAGGAGTCTAAGCCCTTACTGGTAAGAGGATTCTGCCCCTCAGCCCACTTACCTATGGCTGAGCAGAGACCATCCATCCATGAGCCTTGTTGCTGGAGACCTCTTGGGGTGTTTCTCTCCCTTTACATTGATTGTCTTTGATCAGCTTCTTAAGAGAATCTCTCAGTGTAACAAAGCTTTGAAATTCTTTGTTGCTGGGAAGGCTCCTGTCTTAAGATTCATCTGGCTTTTTTCATCCTGACCCCTAGAGTCAGTGAGAATTTGTGACTAGTTCTCCCAAGAGCAGACCTGGAACTGGAGTTTGTCTCTAAGGGATGCTAGAGAGATCTTGGTGAGGGTTGTCTGGGAACCCCTGAGGAGCAGGGAGTCTCCATCAAATGTTAGGACAGACCTTCTTTATTTATAGTGTTTGTGCCTTGCAGACCTCTATTTTCAGGTTGTTGAGACTCAAAAGTCTCTCAAGGCCAAGATGTACACTGGGGAACATGTCAGCATAATCCTTAGGTCTCACAGGAAGTGACTGAAAGTGCTAATAATAGCAACATACGCTTGGCCTTGGAGGGTCTAGATGTGATTTCCCCAATTCTTATTTCCTTTTGTCATCAGAATATCCCTGGGAAAT